AGTTCAATCTATGCGCTCCGGTAGTGCGATTTAAATGCGAACTAGCGGAACGCTAGTGTAGCGGCTATGAATGTTAGTTCGACCTAACGTCCGTTAGTTCGAACTAACATTGTAGTGTAGACATACCCTGTCATACCAACGATGTCATTGCTGTGTTTATTAACTAGCACTTCGGTTCTTCCTGCTTATTCCCCATACTTCTTGCATTTGTATATAGGCATCAAAGATACTGATTTGATTTTGCCGCCCAGTTCTGCCTTCTCCCTCCTTTATCTTTGCTGTTATAGCCCATGCTCCTTCCCATTTCTGACATATCTCCCAGTTCTCCATGTTTTTCACTTCCCTGTGAGCTTTGGTCACCTGCCCCCGTTGAACCTAGTTTAAAGCCCTCTTCACTAGGTTAACCAGTCTGTGTCCAAATACTCTCTTCCCCTTCCCCTGAAGGTGAACCCTATCCCTGCTTAGCAGTCCTTCTTTTTGGAACAGCATCCTGTGGTCAAAGAAGCCAAATCCCTCCTGGCGACACCATCTTCATTGCCAGGCATTCACCTGCAGGATGCATCTGTCTCTGCCTGAGCCCCTGCTTTTGACAGGAAGCACTGAAGAGAATATTAGCTGCGCTCCAAACTCCTTCACTGTGGTCACTCTTGATCGGCTCAAGATTATACCTTGTAGTATCATTAGTGCCCACATGGATGAGTAGCTTGGGGTAGTAGTCAGAGGGCCCGATAATCCTTGACAATGCCTCCATAACATATTGGATACGGGCCTCTGGTAGGCAGCATACCTCCTTAGATGACATTGCAGGGTGACAGATGGGCACCGCTGTCCCCATCAGAATAGAGTCCCCGACCACCACTACCCTATCTTTCCTCCTTGCAGTAGTGGCAGCAGAACTCCCAGCTTTGGGGGCACATTCCTATGCATTATAAATACTAGGCCACACTGTGCTGAGGATGCTATTTTGCTCCATAGAATATGCTACTCCAAGAACAATTTTGCTCTACACAGACTAGAAAACCCAAAGATGTTGGTGCTAAAGAAATGGTCTTTCAATAGTAGTCAGACTGGTGGTAAGACAAGTAACAACTATCGCATTTTATATTTATTTACATTACCTTTATTTATAGATCCCAACAATTTCTTTCTTTCTTTCTTTCTTTCTTTCTTTCTTTCTTTCTTTCTTTTTCACAAATTCTCAGATAAAATCTCTTCTCCTAATGCTGCCCATACCAGAGCTGGCCTAGCAGTACAAATGGTTATCACAGCTACTCATTTAATACATACCTGAAATTTGATTAAGCTGTGTTTGCCACTAGAGCTGGATGAATACTTAAAAAATATATATTTAAGAACTTTTTTCGGTGATTAAAATAGTCAATGACTAAATTATTCTGGGCCCTAATGGCTCACCGCTGGCAATGTTGGCCAAACCTCCAAGATTCTTTCATGTCCCTATATGCTGGTGATATCTGAAAGACTCACATCTAGCAAAACTGCAGGGCACTCACATTATGTTCCTCCAATAGATGACCAGGTATGATGACTTCTTGGGGATTTGAACTTGTGATTCCAAAAGTATAGTCTCTTGCCTAGAGCTGGTCACACCTAGCATTAGAAGAGACCATGTTTTCCTGTTCGGCTTAATTGTACTACTCCTTGCTCAATTCAAGTCCATGAGAAGTCTGTTTCCAATACATTCCAAGATACAACGTGACAGAGCTTCCAGATAGGGACTCAAAACATTTGCTTATATCAACCAGCACCCATTCCCTCATTCTCTTTTGCACAATGGCTCTTGATTATGTTTGTTCATTATAGCAATTTATTTAAACATCTATACCCTGCTGAGATTTTTTTTTAAAAAAAGCACACACAACAAAATCTCCTAGCTAATGATCCAAAACATTTTGTTCCACTGGCTAAGTATCAAACAGCATTTCATGATTATTCTGGGCTTTCTACTCATCTTCCTGGGCTAGAAGGTATCCAAGCAACTAGTAGATTAGCTACCATGTAGCTATGCTGTACAGCATAATGGAGGAAAGCAAATTACACATCTATAATTGATGTAATACATCTACTTACATCTCCTGTCTCCCCCGGCTTGAATCATCTGCTGACATGTTTTTTTTTTTCCTGTTTATTTAGACATGGCGTGTGTGTTTTTCATGCAGCTAGGCCTGCAGGTCATTGAGATGAGGCTATTCAGCATGTTGAGTGCAAGTGGGTTGGCTGTTCAGTTGGATTTACAGCTGGCAAACTAAGAAAGGGAGGCCACTGTCTTGTGCGTTCAGCAGCAAAATACGTAGAGTTTGGAGCAGTGGGAAAAGGAGGGACCTGTATTTTCCCCAAATGAGTTCACTGATAGTTTTTGCTTGTGTAATCTTTGCTCAGGGGGATGGCATAGGCTGCCCAGCAAAGTAATTTCGGCAACCACATATTGGGCCATCACTTCTGCTCCGCAGGAACCCCACAGCTTGCTCTTGGCACCCAGCTTGCCCTACCCAGACTGCCAGGAGCACCAATTCTGGGATGAACACCTGGCCAGCAGGAAGTGGAGTGACTCAACTGACTTTCCTCCCATTGGCAGTATCATGGCTTTTGGTCCCTCAGCCAGGGTTGGGCTCACAAACTGCTGATGGAAACCCAGGCAGCCTATGTCCAATGCCGGGCTATCATTTATCACTGTGGGAGCCACGGGGTGAGGGTAAACACCAGGGCCAGGAAGATTATACTTTGAAAAAGTGCTCTCAATCCTCGGAGGCATGCAAGTGCTCAGGGAGGTTGGTTAAAGCTGCAAATAGCCCATGAAGGCGCATGAATGCTGGCGTGTTTTCCAATGAGGCCTCAAGGAAAGCTGAAATTTGGGGAATCAGACTGTTTGCAGACAGCTCTGCTGACAAGGGTGAAATTCACTGCACCAGCACAAAGCCAGAGGCACTGGGGAATCCCTCACATGGAACTGTCTCCTGCATATCTGTGCACAAGATGCAAAGCCCTGGCCAAGTATCGTTATTCTTCATTTACACATGAGGAAACTGTTTGCCACGGGAGCCAGGGAAGCCCATGAATGAGCCAAGACAAGAACCAGGGAGTCTGGATTTGGAGCCCCGTTGGGGACATGAAATCCATTTGTGCTGCACAGTAAGAGCCCGTCGCCTATGTGCTGAGAGAGCTACACCTTTCACATGGCACTGAGCTTCCCGCATCTCATTGTCCTTCCCAGACATGCCTGCCCCCGCTGATTGGAGTGGGGGCTCCCAAAGTGCTGCTTCCAGTGAGCCCTAGGAATTCTTTCAATGGGGGGATTTCAATGCTCCTTCTTCAAATGTGACTGTGGGAGGTGCCAAATCTCACTGAGTCTCTGCAGTCCTGGTGTGTGTGCTTCAGCCTCAGGCAAGGCGAGTTAGGGGGATACATCCCCACCTCAGCTGGTGCTTTGCCTAGCACACCTCCGAGAACTGGCTTCATCTCATCCAGACATGAGCCGCATGTTCCCTAGAAGGGTGCCCTGAGAATACAGCCACGGCCACCCCCTGCTCTCCCTCCAGCGAGCTATGGAGGCTGGCACTCCAGAATGGTGCAGCTGGGGAAAATCTCTGCCTTTTAGTGCAAGGTGGCATCTCCACAGCTGCTGTCATTAGAGATGCTGGGCACTTCTTCAGCCACCTCCATTATGGGGATCTCCAAGAGCTTTGTAAGCATTGATCAACTAAATCTCACAGCACCTTCGGGTGTTACTCTAGCAAAGTACAGGCAGCAGCAGCCCATTTCATGCACAGGAGAGGCACAGGAAGAACAGTCATCCAATTTGCACTGCTCCAGACATGCCGGTGGAGTTACTCTTGATTTCCACTGTAACTTAAGCAGAATCTGCCCCAAAGTGATTTATCCACAACAGCTGGGAATAAAACTCAGGAGTCCTAATGCCACATCCCTCCTGTAACCATTAGGCACCACTCTCTGACACCGGTCACTAAAAGCTGAGGCGTTTGCTGCAGATCCTGGGAAAGTGCTTTGTGTTGCTTTCCAGCACTGTGGGCCGTATCACTGCATTGGGTAACCAGGCACTTTGCTAAGTAAAACAAGCATTTTAAATTATTTTTAGCATAAAAATCCAAGCAAACAAATTATTTCCATCTGGAAAGAGGATGCAAATATATTTTACATTGCTAGCTGCTTTCATCAACATATATTTTGCAATCTGATTTCTCCCTGCTTGCTGTTTTCTTTTCTTTGGTCTTTTATTTTATTTTATTTTTCTTGTGTGTCTGTTTATTTTCTGTAAAGGGTTCAAAGGTGAAAGGGATCACTGGAGAAGTGGAAGGACAATCTGCATCAAAACCCATGAAAGTGGCCAGAAAGAAATTGAGGCTTTCGATTCAGCCATATTACTCATCCGGAACCCATACAAAGCCTTGATGGCTGAATTCAATCGGAAGTATGGTGGTCACATTGGATTTGCTTCTCACGCACACTGGAAAGGCAAAGGTATGCAAGTTACCTCAATACTTTTTATAGCAGTTTCAGTCGCTGGTTTGGGTTGAAGAGGAAAACACCCACTCTTCAAAACAAGGCTCAATGGTCTGTGTTAGCATTTTCCAAATGAGATGTTTTGTTCGGATTAAAAAGTCTTTTGGTGCCTAAATGTTCTTCAAGAATGCACAGTAACTTGTAGGGAGTAACAGCAGACTGAATTGTGCATGCCACTGCCCTCTAGTCGCCAGGGGCACAATTTGAACCTTTCTAGTCTGGCACCCTCGGGACCTGATCGGTGTCAAACCAGAGAATTTGCCGAACTATGGGCGGCCAATAATGTCTAGCAGCATTACCAACACTTCCAGTGCTTATCTGGGCTCTTAGCAGACATCTAGGGATAAATTAGAGTTAGAGAACAGCACAGATTCCTGAGAACCAGGACTGATGGCTGGAAACAAACTTTATGAGACTGCAGGAAACTTGGCCACCTCCTAGATAAGTGCACTCCAGCTAGCTAAAATCATGCTGGACCACAGATATTGCTGGGCCAGAGAGTGTTGGACTAGAGAGATTCAATCTATATACAGAAAAGACTGAGGCTAACATACACAGTGCTCCTTTTGCATGTGTTTTTCAGAGCTGCGCTAAAGCTGACAGTTGTAACATCTGTGTATAGGAGGGTAGAGTGTCTTACAGGTTTGCAAGGGAATTAATGTATGCATCATTCTCACAGCCAGCAGCTTAATGTATTATCATAATATTTGCCCTTATTTAGTGCGCTACTTTTGTCCAGTATGGCAGGCCAACAGAGGTATAATGTCTAAATTACAGCATAGACCATTCAGGAGACCAGCTCACAGCAGGTGGCCAGCCTGTGACCAATGGTAGGGCTAGAATCCAGAAAAAGAGTTAAGTGACATTTTCAGACAAAACTTTTTTTTCCGGTAAAGTAATGGAGGTTCGAGGAGAGCAGAATGCATTGTGAATTTGTGCCAGTTTCGCTGGCTGATTTGGATTGAGGATAAAACCTGCTAACATTCAAAAATAGTCTTATGGTTTTGTTTCAACATTTTCAAAATGAAATGTTTTTGATTTTTTGATTGAAATGACTTTTTGTTCTGAAAGTTCCATCACCTTTACTTTAAAACATTCTGACACATTTTAATATAACATTTAATGTAGCAATTAAACATTTGTTTTTAGGGTTTCATTTACTCCAGAATGGTTTGCCTCTCTCTCTCTCTCTCTCTCTCTCTCTCCCCTCAACTTTTTGATTCACCAACAATTGCAAAACTATTTATTTTCCCATTCAGTTATTTTCCCTGAGCTTTTCAGAATCACCAGCAAACTGAAAATCTGCTACTCTTGTAGGTCACTCTAGGAGTTTTGATTTCCACTTCACCACTTTTACCCTAGATCAAAGTCCTTGTGCTAGATCAGAGGTGGGCAAACCCACAGGCTGGATTTGGTTCCTCGGACTGCCGCTACTATATTTACGTGTACCTCTGCAGGTAAGGGCAATCACTGCTCCCGTTGGTCGTGGATCGCCATTCCTGGCCAATAGGAGCTGCAGGAAGTGATGTCCCAGTCTGTGCCATTTCCTGCAGCTCCCATTGGCTGGGAACAGCAATCTGCAGCCAATGGGAGCTGCAATTGCCCATACCTATGGAGGAGCACGTAAATATAGCAGTGGAGGGCTAACTAGGCTGGCCTTACCATGGGGTGAACTGAAGCGGCCATCTCAGGTGCTAGATTTGGGGGGGAGGAGGGGAGAAGGGCACCACTAGGACCCAGAGTGTAGAAAATTGTGTCTGCTGCTGGTGCATATGTATTCTCTGTGCTCTAGATGCACAGAGATGGTGGAGTGCCATGAGAGGAGTAGAACAGGAAGAAGGCGGAATTGAGACCTTTCAGAGTTTTGGCCCAAGCGAAGGAGCATGGGGGCGTCATTTGAGCTCCCCGCCTCAGGTGCCAAAATGTTGTGGGCTGGCCCTGGGGCTAACCTTGCTGAACTGCTGCCATTTTATTGCCACCTCTGTGCTAGGACTTTGTGCTAGAGAGAAATTTCACCAAGAGAGTATACTCACAGGGGAATAGATACGGAGACAGGGAATTCAGCCTTTAATTCAGGCAGACATTGAAAGAAAAGATGTTTTGCCCAGTTCTAATTGGTGTGCACAGAGCTTAGTAGGCTGAGCTGGTCCAGACAGACAGAGAGGATTCTGGGATTGATTGTCCCTATTTTCTTTATCTATTCGTACGATAAAAATAACATTCCCAAGGCTGCAGCTGGAACATGCAGCTTTTGCAGCTGGTTTTCAAACACCCTTGAAAGCCATTTACTCTTCCATCTGGAACATTAACTCCCAAGGTTCTGGCTGAGGATAAGTTACCACTATCACTCCCATTATCATCATCCTGTATGCTGAACTAGCTGAGACAGGAAACCTTGGATATCCTACAACAGTGCTTTAAACCTGTGGGGTTAAACCAAAACAAGTAGCATATTAAACCAAAAGCACCTGCTAGACAGGTACCATCCAGTGCTTCTACACATGCCCAGCCTGACTTCCGTACTTTACCAACTTGTGGGATTGAAATGCTGGTAAGAGCCCACTGGGAAATCTTACTTTCCCAGGCAAGTTCTGACATGGCCCTGAATCTCTGTGTGGTGGAATAAAGGCAAAATCCTCTAGGCTTTTATCCTCTGAAGCCAGAACTGCTCTCAGGAAGGGGACTGGCTTCCTAGCAGAAATCAGTTTTATCAGAGTATTGCTTCAAGAAGATGGTATAAAATATCTGGCCATGACACGTGGCCATAAATCCTTATCTGACTTGATGATCTTTCCCTCTGACTGGGCATTCCACATAGGAGGAGAACTTTCCCCCCACTCTGCCCCCGGACAAATCAGTTGCAGCCTTTTAATTCTGTACATCCCGCTGCTCTGGAGAAAGCACCTTTCCCATCCACGCACAGACACATATTGTGGATGCTTGTTAATTATAGCAATTTACAAATTGCTGTTGTGAAATTGACTTCATTGGAAAGAGTTAAAATATTTAGCTTGATTGAACATCTGCTACACTTAATTCAGAGTTTATTTAAGGGTATCTCTTTTTACGTGTTAGTATGTGCCTGGATTTTATTATTGCCACGTGCACTGAAATGCTCTCTCTCTCTCTCTGTTTCTCTCTCTCTCTGTCTCTCTCTCTCTCTCTCTGTCTCTCTCTCTCTCTCTCTCCACAATGCCACCAACACCCAAGATGTGCCCAGAACAAAATCCCTGCTCTGACCACCACCAAACTCAGGGATAGATTTTGCCTTTTCTGATACGCCTCTGAGCCCAGGGTGGTGCTTTGGGGGCACCATCTCAGGGGAAATAGCTTCCCCATTGGCTCTTAAGCAGCAGCGATTTGCTGTGGATTTAGACCAGTAACAAATCACAACCCTGTTGCACACCAGCTCTTCTGTGCTGGGATATTGAGGGGTCGGAGCCTTGTTCTGTCAGCCATTTGTGGCAGTGAGCAGTAGCTGAGCTTGTGTCTGGCAAGCAAGGTCTGGTTAGTCCATGCAGGTGTGCAAGGGGGGGCTGTGCTGTCACACACACACACACACACACACACACACTCGGGACATGAAGCAAGTCACTATCTAGCTCTCAGGCTGGGAGAGCTCAGAGGTTCAGAAAGGACCGTTCTGACCACTTTGTCTGACCTGCATGACAGAGGCCGGAGAGCTCACCCAGCATTTATTCCTGTTTGAACTAGAGCAGATCTTCTAAAACAACATCCTATCTTGTGCTCAACTCCGGAGTTAAATTTTAGCAGGTTAGGTCCCTCTCTAGGACCGATATGAAGGCTGAGGCTTGACAGGACACAGGGTCCATTTTGGAATATGTGCTTAGGCTTGGGAAGGAACTCAATTGCTTAGTGAGGTTCATGATGGCCCAGGCCCACCAATGAGGGAGGGAAGGGGAGAGTTGCCCCAGGGCCTAGCAAGTCAAAGGGGCTGGGACTCCTGGCCACCACTGCTGCCACAGTAGCAGCAGAGGCAGCAGCTGAAGCCCCATGGTCACTGGAGCACCACACTACATGCTCTAAGGGGGGAGGGGGGGGGTGCACAGCAGCATGGATGGATGGCTGCTCCCAGCCCCACCCCTTCTACCTGGAGCCCTGCCCCTTCTGGGAGCATGGAACTGGCTCCTGCCCCACACCTTACCTAGGGGCTGGTGAAGGCTGCTGGCTTCCCTGCGCTGGTGACAACTGCCAGATTATTTGCCCTAGACACAGAAGTCCCCTACCTACGGAACAGGGACTGCCCACATAGTAGCAGTAGAAACATCCTTTACTCTGCCCAATAATCAGCTTTCATGGTGAACAGGAAAGACCAGCCTGGTGGTTCAGTCTCCATGCCCTGGTCTCTGTGCTGAGAGTGCTGACCACAGTGCTAACTGGAACAGTGAATGGTAGTTTTTTTAGATACCCTGTAGGCAGCCCTATCTGCTGCAGAGACATGAGGCTGGGTTTTGCTAGGTTTTGTTCATTGGTCCATCTTCTGCTGAGACTTGAGGGACAAACTTCCTGCAAAGCCCTTCTCGGGTTTGTGTATATCTCAGGGATGTCATCAGGTAGCTACACAGGCCATTGCCCAATCTGTGCCTATATTACTATGCACAAATGCGAGAGGCTTTTCAGGTCCATGGAGCCTCTGAATATTGTGATGACTCTCCTCTCCGTACCCACACTTGAGAGCTTTCCTTTTAGCTTACCTGGCTGGGAGCAGCAACAGCTGTGTGTGCTAGCAGGGCAGAGCGCTTAGTGTGACTCACTGACCATAGTAGCAATAATTATGCTGCACAGAGAGTGTGGAAAGAGGAAACCTCTGAGAAGCTTATATAAGGTGCTAGAACAGCCAACACAAAAAGCCGAGGAGAAGGTGGGAACAATCTGTCCACAAATATTCTCTCCAACGCAGAACTAAATCTGATTTGGATTTAAGTCAAAACATGCCA